GCAAAATGCAACCAATCGCACACAGTCCAGAGCCCTGCATCTGTAGGAATTGTACCATTTGAGGTTAATCACTGGGACTGAGCTGTGGATTAAAAGCAGGAAAAATGGGGGCAACCTAATCTTTTGACCAGCAGTGTAAATCTCAAGGACTGTAGTTTTGAATTCACATTTAAATAGCATATAAAAAGTCAAATGCTTTTAGCATCTGTTAAACTGTGTCCCCATTAAAACCTGGGGGAGAAGACAGGACACTTCTGTGAGGAGACTGAAACACTCTCATTAAAAAGAGCTGGATTATAAGATGATTGTCTTACCGATCATTTAACGCAGACGTTGAGAATGCAGCTGGGGGGGCTGGCGGAATGGGTGAAAAATATAGTACATACCATCCAAAAGCCAAGTGGTTTAATCCTGTATGGAAATGGTAATGAGAAAAAGTGGACTGACTCTCTCTGTGTGCACTCTCCTGTCCAGGATGGGATGGAGGCCACTGTGGTGGGGCTTCTCCAGGATGCATAAGAAGAGCCTTTGTGCTCCAGTAAGACAAAAATACAGCTTTTGAACCATGTGCATTGAAAGAGAGAGAAAAATGGAGAGGCAGTTTGGGGCTGGGGTGAGGAGGTGGGCTGTAAAGGTGTGGAAGCATTTGGACTCTTGAGTTGTGTGTCTGTGCATGTATGTGTACACGTATGTTTTTTGTGGTGTGTGCGGTGGTCACACACTGGTCTGATATCAAGTGCCTGTTTAAGCCCTCCTTCCGTCTCCAAAGGTGCCTCGGTCTTTGTTTCATGGAGCGCTGTTCTCCATTCTGCTGAAGCCCGACTGTGAATGGAGGCTGGGAAGCGAAAGAGTGGCCGTCAACAGACAGAAGGCGGAAAAAGGAAAGTGGAAAATGCAGCGCACCACCAGGGTGTGTAGGCAATTTGCAGTCAAATAGGTGACAAGTGAAAGGCGTTTAGCAGGGAAGGCGTGTTGGTGTCTCGCATATGTCAAGCCAGATTCCTCAGGTTTAATTTGAAAGCAATGATAGTTTGATACGTCTGGCAACCTTCATGCACATTTGCATGAATTGAAATTTGCTCTGCTTTTGTATATGATGTGATTGTTTCTCCATCCTCAGGAGAAGCAAAGTAAACTAGGCTCGGAAAGCCATTTAGCTGGCTGAGGAAACGGTGTGATGTCATTCTCTGCTCAGTCAGGCGCTTAGGAGCAAACAAAACTGCATCTGCGGTGCAGTTCTGGTTTTGCAGAAGGTTAAGAAGAAGAAGCATGAGGCTAAGTGGATTTCAGAAAAACAGAAGACTGATGGCATGTTGTTCTCCAGCTCAAAGTGATGCTAGCCGAGATCTCATGCATAAAATCAGACCTAGATCTGGCAGATGGAGAAGCCTGAACTCCTTTCCTGACTTGGCCCCACATGAAATGTGCTGGTTGCATTAAATGAAGTTTGACAGTCACTTCCCCTGAGGTGCATGGCTCGTCTGTGAATAGGGATTAGAAACGGTGGTTATAAAGGTCCATAGCCATGTGATGCAAATCAGCCTCTATGATCCTCTGCAGTGTTCCTCATTCTTCCCAAACAACTAATCCACCTAAGTATCACAGGCCTCTCAGCTCTCAACCCAAACTCATTTGGTTACAGCTCAGTAATTAGTATTCTTCCTCCCCGTGCAATAATTGTAGCCATTAAAACATAGTTCATTTACCCTGAAGTTAATGAATGCCTTCTCAGTGCACTGTAGTTACTTTGTAATTAATTGTTACTGGGCAATTTGAACTCTGCCTTTTTTTTTTTGCTTTTGTCCATCCATCCATCCATCCATCCATTTACTGCCACTTAACCAGAGTCCTGCCTCCACAGCTATCGCAAGTGGTGAAAGAACCCAGATGAGTCAGATTAAACAAGTTTAGTTAGTTGGTAACTTTACTATTGAATGAATCAGAGTGATAGAGGCATGCTTGAAATTCTGGAGGGTCCCCACAGAGATATGAAATGCAGCTATAGTAAAAAAAAAAAATAGAGAGGTCAAATCCCTGGTGTGACAGCACAGACAGCAGACTTACTGCTTATACCTCTTGGGGCTAAAATGGGGGTGGGGGGTGAGAAACAATAAGGAAGAGGCAATAAATTCAAACCCTTCAAATTTTTTATGGCCTCAATCTGACAAAGAAATCAGGGTCTGTTCCATGTTGGCCTCATCAGTAGACATATAGGATATTTGTCATGGGAGTTGAAGCCGTTTCACTCATCCACTTGCTGTTTCCATTTCCTGGCAGCTGGCAGCACAGCATTCAGCCGAAGGGCACAGGGCCACCCTGCCACCAAAGCTAGGACAACCTCAGCGTGTCGCATCATCAGCGTCGACCTGCCTGACTTTGTTTTCCGAGGAGGACTCTCTGTGTCAGCAGGGAGACAATGGCAGCAGTGTGATGGGGGATTCTTCTCTGTGGAAAGTTCCACATTGGTGCTCCTGATGGAAACCTGACCTCTGCATTCAGTCCACTGTGTGTCATAGGAACGCCAAAAGCTTTGGTTCATGTCTGTGTATTTGTTGTTCCAGCTTCATCTCTGTGCACACTGAGTTCAAACACACACACCCAGATTTCTTTCAACACTCCCATCCCTCCCAAATCATGGGAGAAATCACAGGCCCATCGTGAGCTTGTGCAACATTTAATAAGGCTGAAGTGAGATGGTTCATGAATTGCAGGCTGTGAATTTGCACGTTAAACACTTCTATAACAACAACACGCGCACTCATCCACTGACCCGTCTCTCTACCAATAGTCGGAGTCGATTTACAGCTAGTAATCCTTATGACCTTACATTAATGGAGAACACAGCTTAACTCTCAGCAGCGACTGTATAATTGGTTGTCCCCCGTGGAGTATTGTGCATTGGGCATTGCAGGAGCAGTATATCAGTACCCTGTCCACGAGCCAAGACAGATGGACTCTAGTTTGGGGTGACTTCAGGATTGTGTGTTTGTGTGTAGAACCCCCGTAGGAATAAGCTGAGGGTTTCCACTGATGCCAGAACCTCCCAGCTATAACAATAACATCTGTGGTTTGGATTAAACACATCGGTGATATCGCCCTTCGGGTAATATGCCTGCACTATTGCAGCCCTGCAGCCAATTGTTATTGTCTGTCAAGTTTGTAGAGGTGTGGGATCCAACACAAATGACTGTGTCTTTGGCAGCAGTTGATATTTTAATTCAGTTACTTCTTTTGCTTTACTTTTGGCTTCACAGATTTTTATGTCACAATGGCGATGTTCCTTTAGAGAATTCACATATTTTCTGAGGCTTTACTTAAACCTGCTAGAGGGTCCAGTGAGACCGTAAACAAAGTCACATCCTGCTTCCTGAAGGATAATAAGGAGGATAATCACCTTTATTGGCCAAGTATGTTACACACAAGGAATTTGTTTCCGGTACAGAACTGAGGCAGCCATCTGCGGCGCCAACTCAACTGATGGCTCTAACCATAAGGGCGGTTCAGTGTCTTGCCCAAGGACACTGCAACATGTGGACTGCTGGCACTGAGATTTGAACCTCCAACCCTCCAGTTGGGAGACGACTGCTCTACCCACTGAACCACAGTCACCCCTGAAGCTATTTGAAATTGTTGATTATATTATGTATCAGAATTATTTGGTCAAGCTAATGGTCAATTCAAATTTCAAAATTCAGGTTAAATTTTATTTGTATAGCACCAAATCACAACAAAAGTCATCTCAGGACACTTTACAAACTAAGGTCTAGACCTTACTGTTATCAATATTATTAGAGGGAAAACCCAACAAATCCAACTTGAGCAAGCACTTGGCGACAGTGGGGAGGGAAAACTCGCTTTAACGGAAGAAACCTCTGACAGACCCCGGCTCTTGGTGCGCGGCCTTCTGCCTCGACCGGCTGGGGTGAGTGGATAGAGGAGATGTTAATGGAAAATGTAATGGTAAATTATTTGAGCAATCATGGCTCTACACATGAATATTTAATTCGCTCCTCTCCTCTCTGCCGTCATAATCGCTCTCCACCTTGGTACCAGCCTGACTGCCTTTTAAAAAGAACAGGAGATGGCATTTTGATTGGTTTATTGTTTGTTACACCCAAAACACACCCATGGGTTAATTAAGACAGTAAGTCTAACCAAAGGTGCCTCGGTCTTTGGTTCATGGAGTACTGTTCTCCATTCAGCTAATTCGGTCGCCGGATGTATATATACCCTGTAGGTACCTTGATTGTTGCACCTAGAAAGGTGCACTTTAGATTGTCAGAACAGGGCCATTAATGTATTGTGCTTCCTAAACATTGATCACTTATTCTCCCTTAACCTCAGTTTTAATCATCAGATGGCCCCAAACCACAGTCTACTGGTACCCAGTGTTTTATCTTCATTTTAAACACGTGACTTTTTCATAGCTATGGAAGGCACACCTATATCTGTTTTGTTATTTATCAACTATAATGTAAAAATTAAAGACAATACAAACCATTTGATTTTTTACCTTGTAATTTTTAAAAACCTTTTATAACAGTGTTATAATTTTAAAATAAACCACTAATAATTCATTAAATGATCAATCCTGGAACCTTGTTACCCGGTTATATAATTACTGCACCCCATACTTTTTAAACATGTACCCTGAATACTTGTAATTGATTTTCAAGTACCCTTCAACACAAAGTTGTTTACCTCCAAATTCCCTCTCCTTTTGCCTTGTGTACTGTATAAGTCCAACACAGTGCTGTTTCACTGACTGATTGTGAAACTGTGTTATTGTTTGTTTTTCTGTATTTCATTCACGTTTTTATTTCACATGCTGCCAGTTTCTTCTGTCTTGCTAAATCTTATAGCACAAATTAGCAACAACTGACATAAAAGGTACTGGTCGATGCCTCATAATGGTATTGGAGCACATTGTTGGAGCAAATGCATTTAAAGAAGCCTAAATGTCTGCATAACTGGTGTTCTGCATTGTTATGGAGTTACTGACACTTTTTAAGTATAAGAAGAGAAAATAACTTAACTGTTGTTCCAGTTGGGATTCCCCTTATTTTTTTACACAGCTTTATTTCAGGTGAATTAATCAGTTCTATCAGGCTGATCAATAGCCAAACACTTCAGAACGTTTCATTACAGTCTACAGTTCAATGCAAAACATAAAAATAACAGGTAAAAGATAAAAAAAACACAAAAGCCACATTGTTTCATGTGTCATTAAATATATTCATTTGTGATAAACATAATATATTAGTATTACAAGACATTACACATACATTTGCAATGGAAACTGCTAAACAACATTTACAAGCCGACGTATAAACATGAACAGATGATTATTCAGATATCCTGCCGATGGAGAGCGGAGGTCTGCAAACGCCTGCAGAACAGGTGGAGACGTGTTGGAGCTGGTGTGTTGGCAGAGACTTTATTAGCATGTTGTGAATTACAGACACATACAGTATGATGCACAGAGCACTGAGGTGTAGCCATGTGTGTATCTGTGTGTAGCCTTATGTCTGTGGGATGTACTGTGTATGTGTAAAGTCAGTGTGTGTGTGTGTGTGTGTGTGTGTGAGATCCTCCAGGTGCAGGTAAACATGACAAGTTTGTCTGACATTCATTTATTTCACTTTCCATTTATTAAGCCTCTAGTATTTAAAACTCCAGTTATGTTCATATGGAGACAGTTAAACAAAAAATAAAAATACTACTATACAGCTATATAACATGTAGACAGTTGGTCATGCCTTTTTGTTGAGTACCAAGTCTTGAGGCGCTTTGAGGTGATGAACATTTGACACAGTGCGCTGAACGCACAGCACATCACAATAAACATTTGTGATGTTCTATCACTCCACAGGTTATTTTCCCACAACACTGAATACTGTATACAAATTAAACGTGTACATAATTCACAATCATTATTAGCCATCAGTCAGCTACAGTAACTAGCAAGCATGCAGGGTGTCAGTGGTTCGAGGGTTGCTTGATAGGTCGGTATTCTCTGCTTGATGAAGTGAGACTTCGCTGTTCTCTCTCAGATGTTCGGGACATCCGGCTCTCATTTAGTCCTTTTATTAGAGAATAAACGGAGTCGTCTGTAGCCGCGTTATCCTTGTCATCAGTGAGACGAGCAGGGTTTGAATTGTACAGGTCTTTTGCATCATAATATGGTACAGTATGGGATTCTTTTCTTTTTGGGTGCCTCTCTAAAATGTGAACATATCTCATATGTTCTAAAATGTCTGACTAGTAAAAATAAGTGCATGGTTGACGTGTCTACTCTACTTCTAGTTGATGCTGCAGCATCATCTACTAAAAATAATGTCTGTGTATGCACGTATGGTTACTTTACATTGCAGAGGTCACAACCACGACATACTGTTGATACATCGAGAAGCGCTGAGATCATTATACAGAATGAGCAGAGGATCATTATGGCATTTTGTTCCCACAACGCTGAGGTAACACTCATGTGAGCAGGCAAAGTGGCACTCTGAGACTGCAGTTAGGAACAATGTCACAATTTTTAACAACCTCAAAGTTTGGCAGGTTGCAGGAGCAACGTGTCATACATGAGTGGATTCCCTCAGTGCCATGCAGTAACCATGCTTTACATAGCACAGTGAAAACAGATCCTCTGAAAACAAACAGGCAATGTGTCGCTCTTTAAAACGACCGAACAGACTTTAAAAAACAACGGCATCATGGGTAAATGGATATGATGTGACATGTCTGTAACATTAGGTGCAAACTCTGCAATTACACAACAAAACAGACCTCGACAAACAGAAACAGAAAAATGTAGAATGAGCTCCTTCACAAAAGTTCCTAAAAACACTAATCTCTTTGCTCCGACTCAGAGCAGCAGCACTCATTCATTCCTCCTCCTGCTTTATTCATCCAGTTTTTTTTATCGCATCCTCTTCCTTGCATTCTTCTCATTAGAGACGATATTTTGCCTCCTCCTCTCCCTCAATCTCTCTGTTTCTCCCTCCTCTCCAGCTACTTTTAGCACTTTCCCCTCTTGTCACGCTGTTGGAACTTCCTCAGCCGGCGGCCCCACAGGTCCTTCCAAGGGATGAGCAGGCTTCCCTTGTCCGCCACCACGCCGCTCTGCCCGGGGGAGTCGTCATCTGTACCCAGGAGTAGGTACTTCCTCCCAGGCTTGATCTTAGGGCATTTGCAGGCCACATCCTTTGCACGCACCCACAGCAGCTGGTCCCCGCGGCGGATGCGGTGTTCGCCTTGTTTGTACACTGAAATGATGTTGACAGTGAACTTCCACCACTCGCCTGCTTTGTCTCCTTTCAGAACATGCACCTGGACAGCTGGTGGAGGAGAATAGAAAAGCAGAGGCTAAGTCACTCGCATAAACCAGTGATTCCTACTGGTAACATTTTCACTCCATTTGCCCCAAGGTATACTGTATGTACACCTGGGTCAGTACACATTCAGTGAATTCATATTCAGCCACCTAAAGTCTAAATGGTTAGCTAAAAGTAATAAACAGTTGAACTGGTTAGCTAAAATGAATGGGTAACTGGTAAAACAGTGGTTGAAATAGCTAAAAGTAACACATACACAGTTGAACTATTTAGCTAAAGGAACAGATAAAGCCAGTAACAGTTACAGTTAGGTAACAGTTGAAAGACGCAGCTAAAGGTAATAGATAAATGGTGAAAAAGATCAAATTAGCCGCTAAACGGTTGAAACAGCTGAACATAATGAACAGTTGGTCATAGTTAAAGAGCTAAAACTTAAATAACATACATTTTAAAATCAAATTAACACATTTGTAATGTGAACCTAATGTCAGCGAGGGGGTACTTGAGGTCATGACTGCTACACCAGACAAAACGTTGAGCTGAAACTATAACACCGTCTTTTTTAAAAGTGTCAGCATCTGTTGGCTGAGACAGATGTATAAAATGTCCAATACAAGCAGCTGTTTAAACATGATGACCCAGACGCTGAAAGGGTCAACAGTCCCTCCCCTCATCTCTGACCTTTGACCTTTCCTTGTTTTGCTCCTAAGCATACTCCCTGTTACAGCAACAGTTGCCATAGTGATAACAATGTGAAATAACAAAGGATTCTGGTGGCGAACATCTGAAAGCACGATTCCCTGTGAAGGCCCGAGAAACCTTTCCTTCAGGCGCACACACCGGTGGAAGAGCTGACACTGGTTGTAGAAACATGCCACATCTGCTAACAATATGAAATAAATCGTTCCCAATTGGTCAGCCAGGGTCAGTAAGCTGCGGTCTGAACATGTGAGCAGTGACAACCTCTGACTAAATCAAGCTAAACCTGGCATCTGCTGGAACGCCACCTGTAGCCTACAGTTTCATACCAGGACAGAGGTAAAGCTGCCCTGCCTGGAGCAGCTATTACTTCATCACACCGACTGAGCTCAGCAGCGCCAGAGCTAATATGTTCTTGCAGTGAAGTGTTGCCTCCCAAGTGTGTCTAAGGACTGAGATGTAACTGATCTTATACTTATCTATTTATCTTCTATGCACAACCCATCTCATGGATTGTCAGTTATTGCTTAGCAAATTCCATTAGTAAGGTAGCATTGACACGTTGTAGCAGTGGCAGTTTGGCCTAAATAAACGTCATTGCACAGAAAACGTGCAAGGTAGCATTGACATGTCGTAGCAGTGGCAGTTTGGCCTAAATAAAAATAACTTCGAGGGAGCATTAAATCAGTGAGCGGGCTTTAATCTTTGTTCTGTGCTAGTAGTGTTCCTCCAGTGCACTTGATGCAGTTTGTATTTTAACGTACAGTATAAACTTGCAAATTAGCAAAATGATTGTGTAATAATAATAATATGCAAAGTGTTTTTTCTCTTTTCTTAATAAGTTAGCCTTTTCTATGCTAACTGTGGCTGAACATGGTCACTTTGTGTTCCTCAGTCATTCCCTGTTACTGCCGAGAATGAAGAGAAGCGGACGAGTGGTGTGCTGAGTATGTGTGTCTGTGCATGGTGTGAGCAAATTACACAGTTTCAGAAGAAAGAATGTTTGTTGGGCTGAGTGGAGCGAGCTCTCCCAGCCCTGCCATTCATTGCAGCCCTCTCCTTCATCCAAACACATAAAGGGTGTGTGTGTGTGTGTGTGATGGGCACTATTTGTCTTCACAGGCACAGAAAAAGTTCCAGGAGAATCGGGATGTGTTTCCGACCTCATGAGCTATCCGGGGTCTGCTCCCAGAGCCCCATCCAACTTCACAGCGTGAGAATACAGCGGAGCGAGTGCTCTCTTCTCCGGGCTGAGGAGACTCAGTTACAGGATCCAGGACCGGTCTCTGTGACAGGGTCTGCCTCTCTTTCTCTCTCAAGTATGTTCTCAGTCTGTGCAGTGTGTTTAAACACACTGATCCATACACACCTGCCACTTGGTTTGAGTTAAATAGACACCAGAGAGAGAGAGCGTGGGAGAGCAGGGTCAAACCAACTATTTCAAAATAGTGCTCAGTGTTTAGTGAGACGTGTGAGACGATGCTATGCTCACACAATGGCTACCAGACGCTCCTCGCTCACAGCCAAGCTTCCCACTAGGTTTATCTTCTTAGGACAGCGTGCAGCAGCTTGACACAGCATGCCACCAGCAAGCAAGGGCTAATGAAATTAGAGTCGCTTAATTACCGCACTGAGGCCCCTGTTCCCTCTGGTTATCAGCTGAGTGAATGATCAGGGACCTGCTACCCTTGGCTGAGCACAGAGGGGAGGCCAGAGATGCTGGGGGGCCCTGCCTTTGAGCACTATCCCAGAGCGTCTGTAAACACGCAGCCCTTTGATTCATTGTCCTCCTGGTGGCAGGGAGAGGGAGGGTGCATGTGTGCAGAGAGGGTGTCAGGCGAGAATATAATCCCCTTGTGTCCGTCGTCTCCCTAGCTACAGCCGTGATGAAAAACAAAAATTGAATCAACAAAACATATTTCTTTCTCTCCGGGGTGGCGATCCATCACCGTCTGCCTGATTTACCACCTGTTTGTGTCCTGAGGAATGCTCGGTGCCGGCACAGTGCACAACTGTGTTTAAACAGGGGGCCCCTTCCCGTGACCCCCGGGGGCCGGGTGCATCACCGCTCACACATCGGGATTGTGGCCCCCAAAGAACGGAGAAGCCCCACAAAGCAAGGCCACAGGCCTGAGAAATGAATCCAAAGGAGGCAAGGGGAATGTCTGCCCTGCTGCCTCAGTGCCACTCAGGCAGGGTCATCCGCTGAGAGGAACCTCAGAGGAAACGCCGGCTTCACTTCAATCAGCTGAGTTATAGGTAGCGGGTGTCTCAGCTCTGGTAATTAAGATTTAAGTCAATGGAAGTATGAGTGGTGGCTGTTTTTGGCCTCGCTGCAAACTTACTGTAAGGGCAATAAATTACAGTGTATTTGGCCAATTTTCAGTTGAATGTTGTTTCAAGTATCTAAATCTTTCACCGATGACTTTGAATGAGAGACAAATTAGTCTCAGTCGGGGAGCTGAAAGTCTTGTAGCAGAATAAGCAAGAATCTGTATGAGTGCTACACTAGTACAGGAAGATATTTTAAAAGTTGCTAAAGATGCAGCTGAGGCATATTTTAACAAAGACTAAGTGTGTGTTGGATCACCAGAAGCACACTCTTATTGTCTTTGATTGGATGCTATTTGCAGACACTTGGCAGAGAGGAGAATATATCCTGTGTAACACTGGATCGGTGTTTACTCTCCCTGTGGTTTACAGATGTGGATTCACTGATAGCAGATAAACCATTATACCGTAATGAAAACCATGTGCCATGTGAGCTACACAGCAGGATAGTGCAGTGAAGAACATGTATTCCACTGCTGCCTCCGTGCTGGATCTACAGGTAGGATCCTCTTCTCTTTTCTGTTGTTTGGTTGTCAAATTATGGACCAAAATCATTGATTTCCTTCTCATTCCAAGCTGTTGACATGCTTGACACTACAGTTTAATATATCGTTTCAGACCCTGCAATATGAGCTTTATTTACCTGGCACCACATTGTTAGATGTGCTGCAGTTGCACCATTTGCTCTGTGGATCCATTGACAACATATCGTGATTGCTGTGTGACTCCTCAAACATGAGATCGAACTTTGGGCGCGCGTGTTGAGGAGCCGGGATATGTGGATTTTAGATTAAATTCACGGTTTGTTCAAAATGATTTGGAACATCTGTGCATTTCCTCCCAGTTTTAAGTAAATAAGAGGAAAACTCTCACTGGTGTGTGAGTGTGTGTAAACCCTGTTTTTGTGCTTTGTTAAAGACACTTCTGTGCATTTCCTCCCAGTTTTAAGTGAATAAGAGGAAAACTCTCACTGGTGTTGGTGAAAACTCTCACCTGTTTTTGTGCTTTGTTAAAGACACTTATATCTTTAAAGGTTTCTGAGCAACATCACCAGTGAGAAGCAGCTCAGGCATGAAAGAGAAAGTGACCCAGACTACAGAGGGTTTATGTGGAGATTAACACGGGAAGTTGTTTTTGTGTCTAAAACTGCAGAATCCCAAAAGTAAAGAGTATTAAATGTTGGAATTAGCCGTTAGCTGCAGAGATGTGGTCAGAGCTGGAGATGTGATGAAGCTGCAGATGGTTTTCCTCTGAAGCTGCAGCAATAACATCCAAGGTCATAGTGTGACTGTGTGAGGCTGCTTCATGAATACTGCCAAGGCTCTGTGTCTGACAGGGTAGCTCTTCCCCCTGGTTTCAGTTTTGTGCTAAGCTAAGCTAACCGATGGTTACAGCTACATATTTACTGAGCAGAGACAACAGTGGTAGAAATGTTCTCATCTAACACTTAAAGGAAAAACCTAAAAGGTGAAAAGGAAAGAGAGTCAAAAAAAAAAAAAGATTATTACCAAGAACACACACACAAAAGTCAACATTATTAAATAAAGGCACAGTTTTCAAGAAACTGCTTTGTTAATCTATCGACTGGCTTATAGTTCTATAATCAACAACCACACAGACAGTGTTAATTAGTGACTTAGTCGAGGTTAAATGCTATTTGATGCTAATGATAATTACTCTGCATTTGTGCCACCGAGTGTCTGGTTTGTAGTAAAGCAGCTACTTGACAGGTGAAAAAGAGTCTTCACAAGTCTTCAGAAGCTCAGTTTTTTCTGTCAACACTTTAAGATGATCAACTGGAGAACACTTTCTCACCTGTGTGAATTGGCTGCTAGCGTGTGCAGAAACCCACATCAGACAGAACAATATGTTTTTCGATGAATCTGTATTAGAGAACATGTCTGGAGGCTGTGAAAGTAAGCCATCAGTGAAGCGTTGCTTGGCATGTGACTAATTGAGACATCTGGCCTGTTGACTGCTGGCTGACGTCTGGCTGCACACATTCCTGCGTGTTGGACTCACTCACCATAGTCTTTTTTACAGTATTTCTTCATGGTGATCTTCATCTTTCCCTTGGACGCCTTACAGTGAGATTCACAATCTGGGAGTCAGGGGAAGAAAGAGTCAGTCAGACAACAAATTTCACGTTGCAACATGTAAAATACCTCAGAAATCTATTTCTGTGGTTCTGTCACAAGGCCAGGCTCCAGCTG